GTTTCCCATGTGATATCTGGTCTAGTTGTTGGGAAAATTTGCAAATGTGAATTTTGACTTTATTTACAAAATCTCTCTAGAATTTAGTAAAATGGGCATAACTTTTGCATACTGACTCGGATGAAAAAGTTTTTTATATGAAAAATCATCTACTCAAAAAGTTACATCCAAATTTAACCGGGGGGGGGGGGCGTTAAACATTTTCAAAATCCTCAAAAACCTAACAGAGAAAAGTTACGGGGCTTTTAAGATCTAGAGTGGAAAAAATTTCAAACTGTGGTCAAACAATGGTCAAACTAATTATTCTAGAATATTAGTGTTACTAAATAATTATTTTAGTTATTTTAAATTTTGGTCAAATCTGGTCAAAGTGTGGTCAAACAATGGTCAAACTAATTATTCAAGAAATATTAGTGTTACTAAATAATAATTATTTTTTAAAACAATAGTTTCAAACTCAAACAGTGATGTATCACTTCATGCTCACGCAAAATTTCTGATGGTTAATAGGATTGACATCTTATTATTGTCAGGAAAACAACAAGTGCAGACTTGGAAACGAGGGAGAGTAGAACCCGGAAGTTAAGCGTGCTCAGGCTGGGGGAGTGGGAGGATGGTGACCGTTCGGGAAGTTCGATGATTAGGAATGATGAGGGGTGATTAGAGATTAGAGGATAAATTGAGCAGTGATGAGGGGTGGTGATTAGAGATTAGAGGTTAAAATAATTCAGAAATTTAAAAATAAAAAAAATCAAAAAAATTCAAGAAAAAAACTCATAAAATTTCCTTTAGTCCCGGTTGGTGTTACCAACTGGGACTAAAGGTGGAGCTCCACGTTGCCGCGACCTTTAGTCCCGGTTTCAGTTTGAACGGGGACTAAAGGGGGGAGGCATTAGTAACGACCCTTTAGTCCTGGTTCAAGAACCGGGACTAAAGGCCCTTACGAACCGGGACTGATGCCCCCTTTTCTACTAGTGATAGTGGCTTCAAATATAAAGTGGGGTTATATGGACTTTTCTCACAAAAAATAAATAAGAGATAGATTATTAATATTATGAAAAGCTTTTACGTAAGAATAATATTTTCCTTGTGTACTGGTAGTACAACAAGTAATGCTGGAAAGACGCGTTAACCGTCGCTCACTTAAATGCTCTCTTTATTATGCAACAAGCTAGCGCAGAAATGGAGCAACATCTACAGACAAACACTCGAGCTGCTCTTTCTATTCTAACGAATCAAAGCTGTGCAACTATCTAGCTAGGATGGACTATTTCGATGATGCCATCAGGGATAATCTTATTTAGCCTGTCGAGAGATGAGCAAAATTCAGAGCGAAGAGGAGTGCGCGGCGTAATTAATCCCGTTCAAATAAAAAAAAACATCCTCGTCTTCCTCGTCGTCGGCGTCGCCGTCGTGGTGCAACTTGGTGGCGCCTCACGCGGTTGCTTGACAGCTCTGCCATTGGGCTGGGGC